GTGCGTGCGTGCGTGCGTGCGTGCGTGCGTGCGTGCGTGCGTGTGTGTTCATGCTCATGCTCCTGCATGAATGAAGCTCTGGGTTGTATTCCCAGCACTACATAAACTGCATGGTGTGATGCATGCCTGTTATTCCAGGACTGGAGAGGAAGAGGCAGAAGAATTAGCAGTTCATTGTCCTAGGGAGTCTGGGATACATAAGACCTTCTCTCAAAAAACTTTTTTTGAAATAATATTTAGATTTATTAATAGTTATTTTCTCAACTTTGAAAGAAAGGATTTCTTTTTGCTTTGTTTTTGTTGTTGTTTGAAATAGAGTCTTACTTATGTATCCTTGGTTGTTCTGGAACTTGATGTATGGACTAAGCTATCCTTAGACTACTCCTTCTGTAACTCATATGTTGAGATAACAAGTCTATCTCTCTTTCTTGTGTGAGATACAAATGTGGCAAAGGTCAGTGGAAGGACATTGGGTCTTTCCATCTTATTGTCTTGAGACAGGGTATTTTACTGCATTCCTCAAATAACACAGGGATATAACTATGCCTGGCTTTTTATGTGGGTACTGGGGATTTGAACTCATATATTCATATTTGCACAGAAAGCACTCTTATTCCACTTAGTACCTTTGGGATGAGTTTCTTACAACATAAAAGCATTATCAAACATACAAGTTGGGCTCAGCAGTTCAGAATGTTTACTGCTCTGGCAGAAGACCTGGGTTGGAGTCCTAGTACCCACGTAGTCCCTTAAAACTGCCTGGACCTCCAATTCAGTTCCAGGAAATCTGATGCCTCTTCTGACCCCAGTGGGTTCCTGCATGTATGTGTACACACATATACACAGGCATGCATACATAAACACAAAATTAAATATTTTTGAAGAATTTACACAAGTTGTCTGGATGTGGTGGTGCACACTTGTAATTCCAGCACTTGGGAGGCTGAGGCCAGAGGATTGTTGTGAGTTTGAGGCCAGTTTGGACTATACAATATACAGTAAGACTTTGTCTCCAAAATACAACCAAAAAATCGAGCCAGCAAGATGACTCAGTAAAGATACTTCCTACCAAGCCTGATGACCTGAGTTAGATCCCCAGGACACACATGGTAGGAGACCACTGACTCCTATAAGTTATCTTTTAACCTCCACAGGCATGTTGTAGCACATAGACCTATACGTAATAAACAAGTAAATAAATAAAAAAATATAGAAATTGGTCTTATTGAAGTTAATGTGTCCCTTCAATAAATACCTTAAAGACTGGAGCCTGTTAGTGTAGGCTTGTAATGCTGGCTATTCAGGAGGCTGGGACAAGAGCATCAAGTTCAAGGGCTGTATGGGCAACATAGTGAGACACTGCCTTAAAATAAAAACAAAACAAAAGGCCTGGAGATACTGTTCTGTGGTGGTGTACTTGCCTAGCATGTGCCAGCCTCAGGCTCAATCTGTAGTACCAGGGGAAAAAAGGGGATTCAAATTACCTTGAAAGATGACATTACAAACCTGGTACATTTCCAACAGAATAAGACTTAGTACCAAGAATATCTGAAGGGGGCTTGAGAGATGGCTTAGGGATTAAGATCCCCTAGCTACTTGTCCAAAAGACTTGGGGCACCCATGCAGCAGCTAACATGATGTAATTCTACTTTCAGGGAATCTGATGCCCTCTTCTGGCCTTTGTAGGTACTACATAAATATTGTATACATGTGGGCAAAGTGCCTATACACATAACATTTTACAAAGTACATCTGAAAGAACACCTAGGATTAGGGATGTATAGCTCAGTGGTAAAGAATTTGTCTTACATGTACAAGGTCTTATATTCAATCCAATATTTAGCACAATAAAATAAGAGTAAAAATGAAAAAAGAAGGGTCTGGAAAGATGGCTCAGAGGTTACGAGCACTGACTGCTCTTCCAGAGGTCCTGAGTTCAATTCCCAGCAACCACATGGTGGCTCACAACCATCCGTTATGAGATCTGGTTCCCTCTTCTGGTGTGCAGATATACATGGAAGCAGAATGTTGTATACATAATAAATAAATAAAAATCTTTAAAAAAATGAAAAAAAGAATACCTACAAATATGAAAGGAAAAAAAACAGTGGAAAGCAGTGCAGCAGATAAAAAAGAGACATTTCATAAAAGTAGAAAAAAATGATGATACAAAGATAACTTAGCCTAATGGGCCATAAAGACATGTGGAGGTATTGACTTCATGTAGTGGTCAGAGAGGAAGACCACAATGAGGTGCTATTTTGCTCTTTCCTTCTCTTTTCAAGACAGTCTCACTATGAAGCCCTGGCTGACCTGGAATTCAGCAGAGATCTGTTTGCATTTGCCGCTGTCTCATGAATGCTGGCACTGAAGGAATGATCCATCATGCCTTGTCCATTTTGTATCTCTTACATGGGAAAAAAAATTAAGAAATATAATCTTCATGTGACTTAAAGAGGATAGATTTGCATGGTCTCGTGTTTTTTCCTACTTGCTTAAGAAATTATTAATTAAATATGTATGTGTGTGTTTGCACATTTGTACATTGAAGCCAGAAGAGGGTTTCAGATCCCTTGGAGCTGGGATTATATTATTGGCAGTTTTGACCTTCCCTACATGGGTGTTGGCAATAGAACTCAGGTCTTCTGCAAGAGCAGTATGCACTCTTAACCACTGAACCACCTACCTCTCTAGCCCCTGCATGATTTTTATTTGTACAGTGCTATTGAGTATACAGATTTGCCTGCCACTCTGGAAACAGTTTAGGGAATGTCATATGAATTGAACATCTAGAAGCCAACACCCTAGAGAAGCCAACACCCTAGAGAATTTCATTTATGCATATACTAGGAAAATACGTATATTATGTAGCCAGTATGCTAAATCCATTAGCCTGTTTTTTTTTTTCTGAACTGTCCACAAGTAAGAGTGGGTTTTCAATGTGTCTAAAGAATACATAATGGCTGGTATGGTGGTACACACTTTTAATCCTAGAACTCTGCAGTCAGGTGGATCTCTAAGTTTGAGGCCAGCCACATAGGGAGACCCTGCTCAAAAAAAAAAAAATACATGACAAACTTTGGAAATGGGAAGTGGTTTGTCATTAGCATTCTGATGACTGCCCATAACCTGTACCAGAAGACCAGAAGGGGGCATGTCTGCGCTATGGTTAGTGGCACTGCAAGAAACAATCAGGGATCTCCAAGGAGGAAGAATACAAGCTGATGTGTGGAATGTACTTCTCCATTGACTCATTTGTCAGTAACATTTCCCTGCTAGACATGAAGCATGGCTTTTTCTGGCTTTTAAAACTAGCTGTTAGAATCTCCATTTCTATGAACTTGTCATAAATACTGCTGACTTGGATGTGGGCTCCATCTGAGTTGTGCTGCACCACATCTACAGTGTGCTGTATGTGGAGTTGGTCCTGAAGAATCTTCCATGCTTGCTGGGACTAACTGCCAAGTGAGCTCTTTTGTTTAGATAATATTTTTCTGCTCTGTTGGAACCAGCTGTAACACCTACATCACTTCCAGAAGAATCTGACTACCTGAGCCCGTCTTGACTTGTGGCATTATGATACCTACCTCCCTCCCCAAATTTTCAATCTGAAGGTCCCCACTTCCTGCCTTCAAGTCATCAGACTAAAGCCTACAGGAGTCCTTTCTAGTTTTATCCCCACCTGACTCTAAGAGAAGCACAGAACATTTTTTAATATGACACAGTCTGTAAGCCATAATGCTTCCAACAGTCCCTGATCAGTAGGCACATGCCAACAACATTGTTGAGTTGTAGCAATATAGTCCAGAATGTGACATCCCGGAGTCACCATGTGGCTGCTTAGTGTAAATTAATGGAAATTATTAAAGACAGCACAAAGATCAGTTCCTCAATTGTACTAGCTCATCCTAAAGTCAACAATGAAAAACAAAAAGTGCTTTTGCTTTTAACTTTTTATTTAGGACTACACAGATGAAATAACATAAGAAGTGCAAAAAAGGGTTAATGAACACAGGGTTGTGATGGTCCTGGAGCAGAGGTGGTTGGTAGTAGTTCACTCTGACTCTTCAGCCTCTGAAATTATACTGCCATGCCTAGTTCATAATAGGGCAACTTCACATATTATACAAGACCAGTGATTCTTCCTGTAGGAGTTTCTGTAAAAGTGTTAAATATCTGTAAGCAGACAGTTTGGAAGGAGATTTTATTTGGTTGGTTTGGTCTTTTACAGACATAGCTTTATTTGTCTCAGGGTAGTCTGCAACTCATTATGTTGCAAAGGATACCCTTTGCCTCCATTACCCTCCCAAGTACTGGAATTGCAGACATGAGCCACCATCCTACAAGGATTTTTATTGGTGCATTTTGATAAGCCACAAGATGGCACTCTTGTTCTTTGTGACTCAGCATCAATTTCTTCAGTAAAAGCTGTTCAGAAAGGTTGGTAAGGCTGCCATCTTATCTGTTAGTGTGGCTGTCACCCTGAAAGGGAGTCATTTACTTCAAACCTAAAATTGTAGCAATTCATATAAGAAAGCCTGAGTGCTGGTTAGTTAAAAAGTTCTAAATTTAGTTCAGTAGTGTGTGGGTATTTCAGAAAAATAAAGTTTAGTATTGAGTCCTAAAATACCAGCTTTTATGTGTATGTGGGTGTTTCTGTGTATGAGAGAAAGTACTGGCACTTGAGTGCTACAATGTGCATGTAAAGGTCAGAGGACAACTTTACAGAACGAGTTTTGACGATTGACTTCAGGCCATAAAGTTTGTGTGGCAAACCTTACCCCAGCCCCAGTCATCTTACAGTGCCGACACAACATCAGTTTCTTTTATAATAAAAATAAAGACACAACAAGCACAATAATCCTGTTTTTTTACTTTTCTCTGCACGTATGTCTGTGTACCGTGTGTGTGTGTGTGTGTGTGTGTGTGTGTGTGTGTGTGTGTGTGTGTGTGTTGCTCTTGGAGACCAGAAGAGGGTGTTGGATCCTCTGGGACTAAAGTTACAGACAGTTGTGAGCTGCCTGTATATCCTAGAAATTGAACCCAGGGAGTTACAGATGGTTGTGAACATCTTGTGGGTGCTAGGAATTGAACTCAGGTCTTCAGGAAAAGTAGCCAATTCTCTTAACCACTAAGCCGCCTCTCCAGTCCCAATAATCCTGTTTGTGTTTCAATAAATCTTAATAGATAGGAAAGAGTATATAGACAGCTACCCAACAAACAAAATTCAAGAGGTGCTAGCTTTACCAACTAAGTTAGTCTTGGCCAGCATATGGGTTAGCTCATTTTACAAGGAGTTAAACCCAGAACATGAAACTTCTGGAACAAGAAATAGAGTATATCATCAGTTCAAAACACAGCATTATAGCTGGAAATTGAGGGGCCTAAATTGCCTGTGAATCACTGATTTGAAACCAGGAAGAGCTATAAATTAGTCTCTGCACTCAGTCAAAGGTGAAAAATCAAGGTCCACAGGTCAATGTGGTAGGTTTCAAGATTCTAATGTCCACCTCACTCTGTACTCCTGGGCAACTCTTGGGCTGATGTAGTTATACAAAATTTGGATAGTAACGTGGAACTTGAGTAATGAAAGGTTGTTGTTCTGAAGGTAAAGTATATCTAAAGGGCTGAACAAAGATTAAGGTCATTTCTTCCATCCACACTAAATTGTTCACCTTCCTTACAACTAGAACAGAGAGAGGTTAGTAGTGTCATATAGCATGAAACTATTTGAATAAAATTATATGATGCAGTATTGCCCCCCTTTGCTGGTTCTAGGGATGGAATCCTGCCCCAAGTGTTACATGAGGGAGGCAAGTGCTCTTCCAATGAGCTATAACTTAAGCTCCCGGTATTTTTACATGCACATGCACACACTATGGAGGTGCATATGAATGCATTATCTGAGGGGGCCTGAAGAGGTATCAGGTCTCCTAGAGCTGGAGTTACTGACTAAGCTTGGAACTGAACACACACTCGCTCTCTCTTTTGAGACAGGGTTTCTCTGTAGCTTTGGAGGCTGTCTTGGAAATCACGAAGTAGACCAGGCTGGCCTCAAACTTAGAGATCCACCTGTTTCTGCCTCCCGAGTGCTGGGATTAAAGGTGTGTGCCACCACCAGCCTGTGGAACTGAACTTATGTCCTCTTTGAAAGAAGCAGCAAGCACTCTTAACTGCTAAACCATCTCTTCAGCCCTAGAGTTGACTTGTTTTGTTTTGTATTTAAAGGCAGGGGCTCATAGCCCAGGCTGAGCTGGTACTCATTATAGTACCACTAGGTGGGCCTTGAAGTCATGGCAATTATCCTGCCTCTGCATTCTGAATGCTGGGATTACAGGATGGGGCTGTTATTCATTTTCATTGAATGAAATGTTCCTGATGTTCACATTTTTCCAGGACCTTCCGGCTGGGGAAAAACCTTTATTTTTTTTAAGACCTGAAATGTTACCTGGCGGTGGTGGCGCATGCCTTTGATCCCAGCACTTGAGAGGCAGAGGCAGGCAGATCTTTGTGAGTTTGAAGCCAACCTGGTCTATAGAGCAAGTTTCAGGACAGCCTCCAAAGTTACAGAGAAACCCGGTCTTGAAGAAAAAAAACTTAAAATATTATTTGTATGTATGTGGGTGCTTGTGGAGGTCAGAAGAAGATGTTGGATGCTTTGAAGCTGGAGTTATAGGCAACTGTGAGCCGCCTAATGTGGGTGCTGGGATCTGAACTGTCTCCTGGAAGATCAGTAAGTGCTCCTAACTGCCTAGCCATCCCTCCAGCCACAGCTCTTAGCTGGGTTTGGTGGCACATGCCTAATGCCAGATCTCAGGTTGAGGCAGGAGGATTGAGGACTGTAGGCCAGCCTGGGCTACATAGTGAGTCTAAAAAAATTGCATAGCTGACAACTGATTCTTCTAGCATTCACTGGGGTACTGGGGGGAAGGCTTTTAATATGCTTCCTGAATGTAAAGTGCTTGCTAATTTTAGCTGGAGGAGAGCAGAAATGTTCAGAAACAAATGAAGATTCTGCAGAAGAAGCAAGCCCAGATCGTGAAAGAGAAAGTTCACCTGCAGAGTGAACACAGCAAGGCCATCTTGGCAAGAAGCAAACTGGAATCTCTTTGCAGGGAACTTCAGCGTCACAATAAAACCTTAAAGGTTAGTTGATTTATTGTTTTTCTGTTTTACAGAAGTGATGTTCTCAATTGATTTTACAAGAGGTCACCTTGTGTCTATTCAAAACTTGAAATCTGTGCCTAACTTAGAGACAAGTTATTGACTCTGGTTTGCTTGGGCTGATGCTATGAGGCAATATAATGTGAGACTGATATAATAACACTGTATTAAATTTGGGTTTCCTGCTCAAAAAAGGAATTCCTTATTTGGTCATAGGGAATAAGTAAACATTTCAACTCCTACTCTTTTAAAAAGATTTTCTATTATGTGTGTGGTGTTTTGCTTGCATGTGTATCTGTGTGCCATATGCATGTCTAGTGCTAGAAAAGGCCAGAAGAGTGCGTTGGTTGGATCTCCCGAAACTGAAGTAAGTTACTGACAATTATGAGCCACTATCTGCTGGGTGCTGGAAACTGAGCATGGTCCCCTGCAAGAGCAGTAGTGCTCTTAACCACTGATTTATCTCTCCACCCTTCCCCCGCCCCCAAGGCATGGATTAGGAAGTTTAGAGTTGCCAGTTTTCTGCAGCACTTAAAGTAGCTGGCATGAAAGGAAAAACTGGTTAAGTTTAGAATCAGTATTGTGAGAAAGGAGCACTAAGCTGAGCACTAAGGTGGATGGATGTCAGGGCTGAACTGCCTAAGTTCCCTAGCCGACTCCCAGCTCTTGGTTGCTGAGTACTTTTGGCAGTAGCACTTAGATCTTGGCAGATTATACAGGAAGAGTGAGCAGATACCCAAAGATGAATTGGTATGCATGGAGGAAGATGGAAAAGAGAAGAGCCATGAAAACAATGCACCTCTTAACATTGTAGCTGGCTTGTCCTTGTATGCAATAGGATAGGATTTTTTTGAGACAGGGTTTCTCTGTGGCTTTTGGAGCCTGTCTTGGAATTCGCTCCGTAGAACAGGCTGGTCTTGAACTCACAGAGATCTACCTGCCTCTGCCTCCCAAGTGCTGGGATTAAAGGTATGTGGTACCACCGCCTGGCAGGGTAGGATTTTTGAGCTGAAACTCTTGAGCAAATGCCCCATCTCTCAACGATATGCCAGGAACCTAGATACAACAGCACTTAGGACATGGATTTTTCACCAGATAGGAGTTAATATTTGTTTCCTTTTAAGATTTTATTGGGGGGGGCACACATGCTCACAGTGAGAATCTGAATATCCTGGAGTTACAGGTTGATGTGAGCCACCTGATACAGATGCTGGGCACTGAACTTGGGCTCTGTGGAATAGCAATAAGTGCTCTTAATCCTGAGCCATATCTTCAGTCCCTTCTTTACTTCTGATCCTTTGTATTTATTAATTTACTTTCAAAGACTTATGTGTTGAGATTTTTTCCTGCGTGTATGTATACCTGTGCACCGGTACCTAGCTTGGTGGCTGTAGAGGTCAGAAGCAGGCATCAGAAATGAGAATTACCCTGAACTGGGAGTTAGGGTGGTTATGAGCCACCATGTGGGTGCTGGGAATTAAACCAAGGTCCTCTGTAAGAACAAGAACCACTGAGCTATCTCTCCAGCCCTGAACCTTTATAATAAGATCTTAAAGTAGATGGTACCTGGGCTAATAGTGCATGCCTGTGGTCACAGCTATGAAGAAGACTGAGACAGGAATATTGCAAGTTCAGGGCCAGCCTGGGCAACTTAATGAGATCTTGTTTCAAAATGAAAAATAAAAATTGGACTGGGGATATAGCCTACTGGTAGAGCAATTGCCTAGTATGCTCAAGGCCCTTGTTTCAATCCTACTTATTTCCACTACCCCCAAATAAAATGTTATGAGCTATCTTTCCTTTATAACTAGTCATTTTAAATGGACTAATAAAATACACCTGAAGGTAAGCTTTTTAAAATAAGGATGCTATTTATTGGTCTCTTGAGTAAGAGGTATGACCTAGAAAGTAAACTGAAAGAGGGGTTGTTTGCTCAGACTGATCTAAGCTAATTCCTTGTGTGGTTATCAAGAAGCCTGTTCCAGTAGACAGCCAATATCACCCTTAATTGATGTAACTGAGACTCTTTGTATATCTCAACACTCTAAAGGAAAAGAAAAAGTATGTTTTTTCTTGTTTGCTTTTTGGTTTGGTTTTTTCTTTGTTTATTTTTTGAGACAGGGGTTCTCTGTGTAGCAGCTCTGGCTGCCCTGGAACTTGCACTGTAGAACAGGCTAGCCTCGAACTCAGGCTCTACTTCTCAAGTGTTGGGATTAAAGGTGTGTACCACCATTGCCCCAATTGAAGTATGCTTTTAAATAAGCTTTCTGATCCTAAGGGAGAAAAAACTTTACTTTAGAAGCAATGTTTCAGGGCAGTCACAACAGCTTTTTTTCTCTCTCCACATGCTAGGCAAACACTTTTTTTAATCAAGCTACATTTCCAACCTTCTTTACTTTTTTTTTTGTATGTGTGTGAGTGTGTGTGTGTGTGTGTGTGTCCATTTGTGTGTTGGGGGTAGTAGTGTGAGTGCGCATGTGGAATCCCCCCAGAATTGGGATTATAGGCACAGGCTGCCTGCCATGCCTTAGTTTCTATGTGGGTGCTGGAGATTTGAACTCAGGTCCTTAGGCTTGGGCAGCAAGCACTTAACCGGCTGAAACATTTTCCCTACCCTCTAGTTTTGTTTGAGACAGGGTCTCACTAAGTTGCCCAAACTGTTCATTAACTCACTCTTTAAGCCCAGGCAGGCTTTGAACTTGGAATTTTCTTCTCAACCCCAAATAGCTGTGATGACAGGCCTGGCCACAGCAGCTTCTTTGAGCATTTTGTACATGGGTCTATTATTAACAGAAATTCTTTTGGGTACCAAGGAGGAAAATCTGCAGCAGGCACGAGAGGAAGAAGAACGACGTAAAGAAGCAACAGCACATTTCCAGATTACTCTGAATGAAATCCAAGCCCAGTTGGAACAACATGACATACATAATGCCAAACTCCGACAGGAGAACATCGAACTGGGAGAAAAGCTGAAGAAGCTCATTGAGCAGTATGCACTGAGGGAAGAGGTAATATCATTCTATTGCTTTCCGCAGCTTCTCACTATTAGTGATAACTTCTCTGCTGCAGGGTATTTTAGAATTGTTCATGTGTAGCGAAGGTGGATTTATTACTAGGGAAAGGATCAAACCACTGCATAACCAGAAGGATTAATTGAGAATCCATCTGCATGAATAGGTGAGACAATCTCTAGGAGTCTTGTCAAGTCTAGATCTATGTAATACTAGAAGATGGCATTTTTCACAGATTTTCTTATCTGGACTAATAATGAATTTTTGGCTCTGGAATACCCTGCATCGCAAGACATTTGTGATAATCTATACAATATCTATAATCATTTCATTACATCAGTGTTTCAGGGTTAGTTTTGTTTTCGATGTTTTTTCCTCTTGAGATTAGGTTTTGCCTGTTGCCCTGGGTGGCTTCCAATTCATGGGCTTAAGTAGATCCTCCTGTTTGAACCTCCCAGGCCAATTTCCTTTTTATTTAGGGTTTTGCAGTGCTAGTGGTCAAATCCAGGGCCTTGGCCATACTATGAGGACTTTCTGCTACTAAACTAGTTACCCACAAGCCTATTTTTAATTTCTCTTTTACTGCTGGGATCAATCCCAGGGACCTTGTGCTTGCTAAGTATGTTTTATCACTTAACTTACACCCCAGGGGTGTTTTTTGTTTTAGATATGGTCTTTGTCTGTGGCCCAGAACTCATGGCAGATAGCATCTTTGCCAAGTTCTAAGATTATAGTTTGGCCTTGAATAGTTTTTGAGTTTTCAAAAGTCTATTTTTAATTATGTGTTTGTCTGTCTGGATGTGGGTTTGTGCACACAAGTGCAGTGGCCACAGAGGATTGGATCCCTTGGAATTTAAATTTTAGGTGACTGTGAGCTGCTCAAGGTGGGTGCTGGTAACCAAACTCAGAGCAGTACTTAGAATTAATTGCTGAGCCATGTCCTTAGCTCCTATGGCTTGAACTCATTAAAAAAAATAATTATAAAAAAATTAATTACTTTGTGTGTATGGATGTTCTGTTTGCACATGTCTGTGCACATACGGAGGCCAAAAATGTAGTTTTTAAAATCGTAGATATTTACTATACAACTCAGAAAGTTCTTTTTTGATCATATCATTTTCACACCTAAAAAGTGAAGTTAACATCTGCTTGTCTTTTTAAAATTTATGTGTGTGGGAGTGCCCCCAAGAGGTCAGAAGAGGGTATTGGATTCCCTGGAGCTGGAATTACAGGTATTTGTGAGCTGTCCACCATAGATACTGGAAAACAAACTTGGGTCCTGCAAGAGCAACAGCAAGAAGAGCAGCAAGAGCTCTTAACCACTTCTACTTTCCTGTCATTAAAAAGTCTGAATTGAGATCTAAATAAAGTTTACTTCTGTAAACTTCTGATGTCTCATCTCCAAAATACAGATTTCCTTGGCTTGTTTTATTATTGAAGAGCTTATTAAATAAAGTTTTGTGGTTTTGTTGTCATACAGGTTTAAATTTTATTATTAAATTATTAAAGCCCCAACTTTTCTTTTGGTTTTCTCTGTAACCCTGGCTGTCCTGGAGCTTGCTATATAGACTAGGCTGACCTCAAATTCACAAAGATCCTCCTACTGGGATCAAAGGTGTGCGCTTCCAGACCAGGCCTGGCCCTAATTTTCTTAAGATAATTCTTTTAGTTTTATTGTTTAATGGGTGTTTGTTCAAATTCATAAATAAAAATCTGCCATGTTAATACCTAGGCTATGTCATTACCCACTAGCATTCTCCCTGTCACATATCATACCGTAACAGGAAGAATCCTAATTCTGTAGTTCCAAGGTGGCATGTTTTGATGGCTTCACTGTATATAGTTAGCCACTTACCAGTTTTATTTGGAAATACAACCTTTTCCCAGTGTCTGGTAAGGCACCAAGTACCTTATATGATTTGACTCAGCAAACTGGGTATGGTTATATTCATATTAGATACTGGCATTGAGATTTACCGGGACAGAAATTTACATAGTTGATAAGTTTGCCTTAGCTTGGCTTTGACTTATCATGCTGCCTTCAAATGAGGAATTTAGAAAAATTTAATGGGTAGAAAAAAAAGGAATGGGCAGAAAAAATGTGTGTATGTGTGGATTTATTAGTTTGATCTCGTCTTGTTTGACTTTCTCAGTACACAGCAAAAATAAGAATTTCAAAGCTTAGGGAGAGGGAACTGGGATTGATATATATGTAAAATAAGATTGTTTCTAATTTAAATAAAATTTATTAAAATAATAAAAATTGAAAAAAAGAATTTCAAAGCTTGTGGTGTTGGTGCCTAGCTCCAACAGGGCAGTAGTGTTCTTGCAGGTGGTGTCAAACACTATTGTAGGTGTAGGGACAGAAAGACCTAGTAGGAAAGCAGGGCAAATAGGGCTGTAACATCTTTTATTTCCTCTCCATTGTGTTCCTCTCTTCGTGAAGTGATGGAAGGAATTCTTTTTTTCATAGCACATTGATAAAGTATTCAAACACAAGGAATTGCAACAACAGCTTGTGGATGCCAAACTTCAGCAAACGACACAGCTGATAAAAGAAGCTGATGAAAAACATCAGAGAGAGAGAGAGTTTGTAAGTCCTGTTCCTTAAGAAAAAAAAGAAGGTATTGCCAGTATTTTAAAACATTTAATGTCATCCATGGGGTAAGGTAGGCTTTTAGCTACTTACTCATGTTCTGAGATCCACTTGCCTCTGTCTCTTGAATGCTAGGATTAAGATATGTACCACCTGGGTTTGTTTTGAACAAGTTGACACTAGGGAAAATGATTTATGTTCATTGGTGTAACTTTTTTGTGATTTTGTTGAGTTGGGGTCTCATATTGCAGTCCTAGCTGGAAGATAACCCTGAGTTTCTCTTATACCACCACACCCAGTTTATGAAGTGCTGAGCATTGTGTGCATGTGTAAGGGCAAGCACTATCAACTGAAGCATCCTCTCCAGTCCCCCACCAGTTTTTTTGTTTTGTTTTGAATATTCAGAAACCTGGTCTCTAATTTCATTGTTTTTCTCCATACCCCTTTACCCAGTCTTATCTTGCTCCTCAGGGAGTAGCTTTCTCAGCCATGTTTGAAGTACTTAGCTATGTTTTCTGCTAATACTAGACATGTGATTATTTTCACTTCAAATATTACCCTTAAACCCTAAGTTTTTAAAATTGTTTTAGGTCTCCATAGAACCTTTTTCTATTTAAGCAGTAAAAGATGTCTTTCCACTTCCATAAGCATTGTTAAGCATAATGATGGAAAGTGAACATAAATGGCAACTGTTGGAAAGAAGGTATTCCATCTGTAGGGTTATCATTCTTGCTAAGATAGTGAGTAGAAGGATGTGGCATAACATTTGACATATTCACATTTGTAATTACTGTTAGTGCTTTTGCAAGAATGTTTCTGTTTTCTAGTTACTAAAAGAAGCAACAGAATCCAGGCACAAATATGAACAAATGAAACAGCAAGAAGTACAACTAAAACAGCAGGTAACTTGATAGTTGGGGATAGCAGAATTTGTAAGAAAGATGATTCATTGAACATACCTTGAATCTCCTCTAAGGTGATTTTGCTTGTTCCCAGCAAGAGCTGACCATGGCTAAGGAAGAAGTCTCTTTTCATTTAGGGTGATCATCCAAATTTGAGTGTTCCTAGTTTTAGTATTAAAAGGCCTATGTCTTAGTAGGCTCCCACTCCTTAAATGTCAGTCCAACTGGGATAATTAGTTATCTACCAAAATGGCTCATTTCCTCCTAAGGGAAGCTAGTAAGCTTCCAGATTTAAAGAATGTTATAAAATTTCACATTCCTTAACTCTTTGTAATTTTGTGTCAATTTAGCACCTAAACTGTTTTAAAGCTGCTTGTAACTATAGTTCCACTTGCAGTTCTGTGAAATGCTTTTACCCAAATCTTTCCTTCACTTTTCATTCCAAACTCTGTAGGTGTCCATCCATCTCTTTACTTGAGAAGGTACAAGACAGATTTCTGTCTTAATAGAAGTAATTGGGTGCTTGTACCCCCTTTTAGCCTTTTCACGTTTATTGTAAGGCTCTTTAAAATAAGAGTCTAAATATACTAATTTACTAAAGCCTGGCATGAAACTTTATAAGCACCTCTTTTCGATACTATTTTTGGGGGATAGAGTATTGGTTATATTAACTTCTTACAAAGCTATCCTTTTATTTTTGAGACAGGGTTTCTCTGTTGTAGCTCTGGCTATAGACTAGGCTGGCCTCAAACTCAGAGATCCTCTTGCCTCTGCCACCCAAGTGCTGGGATTAAGGGTGTGTGCCCCCACCAACCAGCAAAGCTAGCCTAAAGAGTGCAAATTTTAGCAGGTATTTATCAGAAGTCTGTGGAACTTTCACCATAGGTTATGATCATGCTATAAGGCTGGTAGGTAATTCAAATCCATTACTTGTCACTTCTATACATGGGGAATCAATGTGGATAAGGTATAAAGTCCATGTTTTACAGATGTTGATAAGCTGTGACCTGTGCCATCTTATTGTTTCCTTTGCTGTGACTTCTTTTTCTGTTACTGAACATTACTATCCTTTCCAAGAGATGATCTTATTTGTTTCATTTCATAAGTTCAAGTGTAATGGTAGTTGCCATCTATGTACTACTGTGGGCCAACACTGTCTCAAAAGAGACAGCCTTCCTTTGGATGTCCTATCTTCAGTTAGAACAAGCTTCATTGAAACTACTGGAGTGTCTAATTTGCAAGCACTGAAAGTGCTCTTTACTCGAGCACCACTGTTGTCCCTGACTTCAGGCTGTCAGCCTCAGGTGCATTGTTAGGCTAGAACACTGGCTTTTGCTCAATCCTTGGCCTTCTGCTGTAGTTTCTGTTCTTTTCCTACACTTTTCTGCAGGTACTTCGTATTGCCTGTCTCCCAGTGATCACATCTAGCCTGGTGAACTTTGCTGCTGCTTCCCCCACCAGTAGCACCTGCTCCAAGTGCTTCCCATATGGCACACCCACCTAGACCTAAATTGTGGGTGGGCTGCCTTCCATCATTACCTCAACCTCCCACATTTTGTTAAGATGATGTTGTCTATAATATCCCCCTCTTCACTGATTACATGGTGTTTTTTTGGGGGGGGGTTCTAATGAACTGTATATATTCTTCTCTCTTCTCCCTTATTTGGTTCATTACTGGACCTTGTACATGCTAAACAAGCACTCTATTGCTAAGCTATATCCCCAAATGCCCCCTCTACTTTGTAAGATTAAAAATCATATGTGCATGAATGCTTTGCTTATGTATAGGTATGTGCCTGGTGCAGAATCAGAAGAGGGAATTGTGGATAGTTGTGAGCCTCCATGCAGGCACTGGGAACCAAAGCACAGGTCCTCTGCAAGAACAGCAAGCACCTTTCCAGTCTTTCCCTCTTATGTGTATTTCATGATCTTGGAAGGAGAAGACCCTCTTCCCCTGGACTTGTCTCCTTATAAAGATATTAGACATCTCTGAAGGTTTCCTCCTGGAACTTGAAGCTTTTCTTTTCTTTTGACTCTATGTCATCTCTTCCAAAATTGGTGTTTCTTAGTTTTTGTTCTTTCCTTAATCATCTCACTATCCCCAACTACTTTTCTGCCTGCACTCAGGACCTATCCTTAATACTAAGTTAAGAACTTTGGAGAAAAATGGTCTTTTAGTTTTCGTGTGTGTGTGCGTGTGTGTGTGTGTGTGTGTGTGGGGGGGGGTTTCAAAACATTTGCAGGTATGTGAAATTTCTGAGTTTTAACTAATGGGTTAATTAATGTTAATGTTCCTGCATTTTAAATGTGTTAACAGCAATAGGATTCCCAAGTACTAGATCTCTGTGAGTTACTAGAATTTTAGCCATCTGTCTGCTATGTGTTTGGGTGTTTACTCTTCCACCATTTAAAACAAAATACCATATGTTTATGAGATTGAATTGCTTACCTGGAACTCAGAATAACTCACTTTTTATTTTGTTCTGTAGCTTTCTCTTTATATGGATAAGTTTGAAGAATTCCAGACAACTATGGCAAAAAGCAATGAACTTTTTACAACCTTCAGGCAAGAAATGGAAAAGGTATTTGTATAATTTTTAGTGGACTAAAATATAAAAGGGATCTTAAGAGTTTTTTATTACTACTTAGAATGATTTTACGTTATGATACTGTATTTTATCTATCTTTCCAAATACAGGTCTATAGTTAGTCATTTTATTCTTTAGTGTGCCCCCAAATAGCTATCGTTATAATTTCAGAATTCTTACTTAGTTACTGTAAATTATTTTTGTTTTTGTTGTTTTTGAGACAGGCTTTCTTTGTGTAGCTCTAGCTCTCCTGGAATTTGCTCTCTAGACCAGGATAGCCTTTAACTCAAGAGATCCACCTGCCTCTGCATACCAAGGGCTGGGATTAAAGTCTTGCACCAGCAACTTCTGGCTAATTTCATTAGAAATAGGCCTTTTCAATCACTTAATAGGCTTCTTTCTAATCCTTTCAAAAAATTCCTTTTCTTGCCTGCACTAAAAAGCATTTTGTAGACCAGACTGGCATAATTTGAAGGGACACCCTGTCTTTTTTAGGAGTTTCAATGAGATGCCCAGGCGGGTCTTGAACTCTAGGACTCAAGCACTTCTCCTGGCCTCAATTCTCAGCCTCCCAGGCCAGATAACTGGGACTATAGCTACACACCATATAGTGCAGAAATTTGAACAGTGTTTAATCCATCTTACATAACCAAGAATGCATGCTCTGGGTCAATGTCTCCATTGCATTAGAGCGTTGGTTGCTGTTCCAGAGGCACCTATATTGGGTGGCTCACAACCATCTGTAACTCCCAAGTGACCTGATGCCCCATTCTGCTGTCTGGACATTTTGCTCATGTGCAAATACACCCCAGAAACATGAATATACACAATTAAAAATAACCCTATATAGCTGGGAGATGGCTCAGTGGTTAATAGTGTCTGCCACTTCTCAAGAGGACTCATTCCAGTTTCTCAGCACCCATGTCAAGTCAATCATTAATACCTGTAATTCCATTTCGTGGAAATCCAAAGCCCTCTTCTGGCCTGCATGGGCACCCACAGCCACGCACATAGATATACACATAAAAAATATAAATCTTTGTGCCCCCCCCATTTACTTTGTATGTGTAGAGACATGTACAGTCACACACGTGTGGAAGTCAGAGAACTACTTCTGTGAGTAGACTCTCTCCTTACACATGTAGGTTCCAGGGATCAAACCAGTCCATCAGGATTGGTGGAAAACACCGTCTTACTGGCCTTCTGTCCCTTTAAAGGAAATAAAAAAGACCCACCAATTTCAGATAGTGTTTGGCTCATTAAACATGTGCTCCATTACCATGAGCTAAATAGTGCTCATATTACCGCCTTGAAGTATTTTTAGACCTAGTAATCTAGAGAATTCAATGAGCAGCAGATTTGTTCTGCCTACCAGTCCTTTGAGTTGATAATCCGATCGAGGGGTAACTGTTAGGCACAGTAAGTATTAGCTGAATTCCAGCACATGCTCACTGTTGAAGTAGAACACAGTTCAAGACAGGGATTCCCCAAATTTGCTATCCTTGTAGGAAGATCCTGTGGGATGGAAAAATACAGATCACTGGGGGTCAGTACTCAACTCAGTTCTTCCATGAGCTCTTTCCATCACCTTTGTCCTAGTTTGTGTTAGCCACCAGTAGAAGTCATGGTCTGCTCTGTTGTTTCCCCTAACAGCACCTGGCTCAGTGTCCTGACTTGAATTGTGGCTGATACGAACTCAGTGAACAAAAAAATATTGAATGTGACTAATTGATAGGCATAGATAAATCTCATTCCCAACTTCTAAAAATTTAGTTCTTGTAGCAGAGGTTTAAGGATGTTACTTTGCCCAGGCATGATATTACATGCCTTTAATCCTAAAATCCAGAGGCCCAAGCAGATCTCTGAATTTGATGCCAGCCTGGTCATAACAAGTTACATAGTGAGAACCACCCCCACAGACACTCACAATTAAAAAATGTTCCCTTGATTCTTTTGGGCCTACTTTATTCTCTTTATCAAAATTCAAGGTAGAAGTTGTATGAGTTGTGAAGTTAAGAGTCCCACTTTTAGTTCTCAAATGATTGGACCTTGTAGTAGCCCATCAATTTTTAGTCTTTGAAGGCAAAGTTGACAGCTCAGTGAGACAAATACAGTGACAGAGAAGGGAGCAATATTAAAGCCAGTAGACAGCCAGTAGAATAAGAAATGGAATTTAAGGGCTAGAGAGATGGCTTAGAAGCTTACTTGTTCTTGCAGAGGACTGGATGGAGTTCAGTTCCCAGCATCCACAACGGTGGCTCACAACCATTCAAAACTCCAGTTCCAGGATATCTGTTGCCGCCTTCTCACCTCCTGAGAGCACCAGGCACATATGCTTTGCACATACATACATACATGCAGTCAAAATAGTCACACATATGAAGAAATTTTTAACTGTTAATTTAGCATTTTAAATTTGTAATTATATCCTTTCACAGATGACAAAGAAAATTAAAAAACTGGAAAAGGAGACAATGATATGGCGCACCAAATGGGAAAACAATAATAAAGCACTTCTGCAGATGGCTGAGGAGGTAAGATGGTTTCCTGAGGTTGGGATGTGTTGTTAGTTATACATAGAGTATGACAGTTACTGAATAGACTGATGCCTTTCCTGGTAGCTGGATAGTGGTGAAGGGTCAAGCATCTTCTAATACAATGTTTTCTCAAACTTGAATCTGTAACAATTCTTCCTGTAAGACACCAGGATTGCTAGAACCCAGCCAGCAGTGCTGACTCACTAGGTCTGAGTTAGGTCAAGCAACTGCAAGAATCTAAAAGGAGGCTGGGCTTGGTGGTGTACACCTTAATAGCACTCAGGAGGCAGAGACAGGATAATTTCTATGAATTTGAGGCTACATGGCGAGACTTTGTCTTTAGATAGAAACAAAACCAACTGAGAGGTTCCTGATGCATTGAATCCAGGCCTAGGGAAGCTCATTCATTGGACTTCCTAGTATGAATGGCAGAAAACACCCCCAGTAGCTTTCTATCTGAAAAAAAGTACTTTTTGGGACATGTTACAAGGGAAAGTATATTGCTTGCAGTCACTACACATCTTCATAAGTTTGACAGCGCTGCACAATGTACAGCGCTGTACATATGCATAAGAATCTTATTTGGCCAGGTGATGGCACCTGCCTTTATCCCAGCACTCAGGAGGCAGAGGCAGGCAGTTCGAGGCTAGCCTGGTCTACAGAATGACAGCTAGAGCTACACGTAGAGAAACCCGGTGTTAAAAAACTAAATAAAAAATTGTTGTTCTAAGTAAGCTTAGTTTTGCAAGTTTTTGACAACTACCTTCCAATTTCTGTAACTTAATGTGAAATTTTTTTATCAAGTTAAGGTAATTTAATCTATTTTTAAGAAACAGAATTTAAACCATTGTGTTAAATAGCATTCCTACACTTAAGACGCATAGGTAGTCAAGGTGTGCTAACTTGAATGTTAGGTTTCTGAAGAAACTAAACATGTATAATAGACAGTAACAGGTAGTTTCCAGTGTGGTTCAGCTCAGCTATTTTTTTTTGTTTACAAACAATAACTGATTTGGATTTATGGGGGTTATGAAACTGTCGACTGGTTTTGTTTTTTATTAAAAAAAAAAACACAACAGAAAACTGTCCGTGATAAAGAGTACAAGGCCTTTCAAATAAAACTGGAACGGTTAGAGAAGCTGTGCAGGGCTCTCCAGACAGAGAGAAATGAGCTCAACGAGAAGGTGGAAGTCCTGAAAGAGCAAGTCTCTATCAAAGCAGCAGATGGGGACTTGGTGTCACCTGCGATGCAGCCCTGTGCTGCCCTGGATTCGTTGAAGGAGATGAACACTTCAAGAAGAGCCCTGGGCATGCACTTGGAGGCTAGGGCCAAGGCCAAGTCAGTGAGTGAGAGAAGAAGTGCTACACAAAAGCCCTCATCTTCAGGTTCTGCGAAAGGCATTGAGTCAGTTGACTAGGGTGAAATGTGATCACTGTATTGAGAGATATATTTTGTGTATAACTTCCTCTGTTAGTAGTAACTATTGGTTTTGTGGTGAAAATTTTCTTACTTTTTCTACCATATCTGTATTTTCTTAGAACTACTGGACTTATGTGGTACAGGAGGCTGCTCAGCAGTTTGAAATAGTTTTAATCTATCAACTATGTTGCACATCTGCCTCATTTCCCCCCTTTGTTGGAGTGCATGTCTTCATTGCTTTGTCCTCTCCCTGCTCCTTGCACCTAATTTTCCTAATTAAAATATCATCAAGACAGGGCCATTAGAGGTACTATGTTCTCATGATGGTTCCTTGATGTGAAAACAATTTTAATTTAAGCATCTTGGCCCATTAATATTAGTCAAAGGAAAATACCAAGATATTTGGTATTTGATGTTTGGTTGGAAAATACCAAGAGCCTATTTAAATAAAGGGGAATGGGGGGACAGGTCAGAAACAAGCTTAGCATTTTTCATTCAAATTAGCTTCTCTTGATTTACTTGACAAATTGAGATGACCACATAACCTTGAAGTTCAAATGTTATTTGTGAACAAAATAGGCAAAGTATTGGATGAACGGACTTAATGTTTCTGTGACTAAAAACAGTCATACTGTGCTGGCTTTTGGATAAAATGTACCACATGTGAAATTAATTTGAACTACCTGATAATCACTGTAGTGGATGGTGGTAGTTTATGTTCCCAAAAAAGCTGACTCTTCTTTGAAAACTGCTCTTCCTTGCAGTACTTTGTGAGTTTAGAAGAATTCATAAGAAGCTTATATTAAAAGCTTTTTCACCCCCTACATTTTGCCTATATGAAAGTTGGTTGTTCATTTGCTCTAAGACTCTCACCAGGAGCTGTGGTAAGCACTTGCCTATCATGTAAGAGGCCCTGGGTAAGTTCCATCAGCAAAGAACGCCAGTTATTTTGTTTCCTGAAAGAGAATTTAAATTACAAATTAGCACTAACTGAACATAATTTCCAAAGTGAAAACACTGGAACCAGCATTTTTATCTTGGAAAGACTTGGCAGATTAGTCAAAAAGACCTCTAACTTATGCTTTCTGGTCCATTTCTCCTTTCTTTGATGCTGTCACTTAAAACAACAAATAAATCAGTATTATTAACGTTTCTACACTTTAAATTTTGGGGAATTTCAAAAGTAAGCAACAGAATATGTTCTTTTTGTTTTCTCAATATTGAATGTGGCTCAGCTACTTTATAAATTAATTTTTAAAAAATTACTGAGACACCACATTCTATTGAGCAAACTCTCAGACTGACACTTGTTGAATTGCATACTGGACTGAATAAACTCCATTTCTCTTTGCTCAGTTTTATTTGTACACTCCTGTGACATTCTAAACCGGGTTCAAACAGTTGAAAATCGACCAAAGGAAACTTTCACCATTGGTCATGTTATTCAAGGGGTCAGACAGTGGAGAAAAAGAAATTCATGAAGTAGATTGTAATCTTATTACTGTGTGTCAGAAACAAAAAAAAAAAACAATACCTTCCAATAGCATCTTATAAATATTCTCCCACCTTCAGCTACTAGAAATACTGGGTCATTTCTCGTGAAAATATATCAGAGATATAATCTACTTTGAAATTATTACTAATGATCACATTTCATAAGTCTGCTGGATACACAGCTCTTAACATTTTATTAAGCCACGTGTGTAGCCTGCCACATTCTTTTTGTGGTGCTTGTCCTGTGTGGAAGATTGTAAATCTTGGAGCTGTTGCATATTTTCAAGGGCTTTATAAAGCAATGTGATTAACAGTCTTAGCCTGCTGCTTTTGGCTTGTATGCATTCTTAGCTAGATGTTTGGAGGACAGGGATTCTGTCTGGGATGCATTCAGAATCCTTCCTCCCATTACCCTGTGAATAAAAACAAATGGGACCTCAGAGAAGGATACCCTCCCCTAAGTGATCACCTCACCAGCCCAGTGTTGTGGCTTTGTAGCACACCCTATATTCTAGAACACTGTAATGCTACTAGGCTGGCCAAGAAAAGGTTTAAATGTTGAATTCATTTATTGCATTTGGTGCACTACTGTGCAATCTTGATGTATATTTATAGTGGCAGTAGACCCCAAAATGTAGCGAAAACTTGGGTCTTGGATTTCAGGCCATTTCATCCTCAGACTTGTAGAAGTACATTTCCTGGTCTTGAGACCAGTATTTTTTAGTTATGTATGCAACTGCCTTTATTACACACCTGGTTATCACAATTCAGTTCTCAGGTGTTGCAGAGAAATCTACCTCTTTCAGACTGTAGATGGAAATAACTGTGAAAAAATGATGCAGATTATCTTCTAGTTTGTGCTAAACACACTGCTTTATTTTTACAGCCCACGTCTTTCATGAGGATATGAATTGTTAAGAGGCAGTCTTGTTTTGCTTTTCAAAGACATTTTGTAGAGATTTTTCACTAACGTGAATCTGATTTTATCTACTTGATTCTGTATAGATTAAGTAAATATGTATGATGAATTTAACAGCTTCTGTGTATTCTTTGGTTGCCTGTGTGGCCTTACTTGCGTACAAATCCAAAGGAACCATTTCACCTACTGCTAAGAGAGAAAGGAGATACATACGTAGCATCATGCACACACACCCACCCCTTCCCAGCTTCTAAAAGAACAAAACAAACTTTATTTTAAAACTTTATTTCTGCAAAGCCAATCAAGAAGTGTTGGAAGGAAAAAGTGTAAAAGTTATCCTTGCATATTTGGGAACTTCAGCAAGCACTTAAAAGTTTGAGAAAATGAGGACTTAAAACAGTTTAATCAAAGGCAATACCCAGCGATGTGTATTTTAAAACAATAATGATGTCCTTTCTTAAGCAACATTCCTTTTTTTCCCCTAATAGCTACAATATGATACAGTACGCAACAGCTCACTTGAAAGTGCTAGAATCAGAGGGTAAAGAACGCCATAAGCCATCCCACTTACATTTCCTACTATACAATGCCTTTTTGGCGCTTGATAAATCAAGCATTCATGTAGCAATACATTCAATAGAAACACCTCATACTTTGGGTTTAAGATCCTTGTCCCTCCAGTTCCGATGTCGTGACATCTGACTCTTCATCATTGTAAATATTTTCAGCCTGGAGACAACAACCAAATAAATTCACAGGTAAAAACAATACTTATATCTGTTAATATACAGATTAAAATTTACTGTCAATTTGTTTCAGTGGCCAGCATCCTTTAAATTAATTGCCACTCTGTAGTTCCCTAGACATACTTAGTCACCCACGCATTATTTTAGTCAATGTTCAGAAAAGGCAGCTTCTGAAAACATTTTAAGCATCACTTGGGGCAATGGTTAACTCAGAACCTTAGAAATGACAAATATTTAAAGTGTTCTTCATTAAACAATTCAAGAATCTTTTAACACTTTCCTACCATATCCTTCTTGTGTGACGGCACTGATACCAGAGATCAAAACAATGTCAAGACTCCAGCTGAGAGTGCAATGACAAATGTCAAGCAGATATTGTGCATGTTTTTAATGTGTATGTGTGGATAAAATGTTATTGAGCTAAACCTTACTAGGTTGTTAAAGTGGAAAAGGTTTAATTATTTTTTATTGTTTCTATTGTGTATATAAATGTGCATGTGTGGAGGTCAGATGACAACTTGCTCTTACTGTTATTGTTACATGGGTTTCAGGCATTGATTTTATTAGGTCATATGGTCTGTGAAGGCTTTATCTGCTGAGCCATTTTGCAGGCTCAGAAAAGGTTTCTTTAAACTATTCCCATCCTATAGCTTTAGTAGTCACCTAAATAATGAAATATTTCAATTACATTCTATCACCAGTGAAACTGAAGTTATGAAAAAAATACTTCAACTCACCATCTGCCATATCTGCATGATGTTATCTTCAGACACTGAGCAAATGACCCAAGGCTCATTGGGGTTCCAACTGAAGTCTGAGATCTTGGCAGTGTGTCCTCCATGAATAAACTTAAAAAACAGAAGTCTTGGTTTCATATCCTTTGCCATTCTAAAACTCCCAAGACTTTTAATTTCTAGGACAGTCTTCTTAGGCTGCCCCACAATTTTGAGGTAGAGTGACACAGGATCTATAATCTATTCCCACACCCAATCTTCTAAAATCTTCTGAACTTCCAGAAAAAGCACTAGTGAACACCTACAGTGAACACCTGTACACTCTACCTAGATTCAAATATTTTGTTAATATGTTCTGTCCACGCATGTGCCCATACATTCAAATGGCTCAAGCAAGTCATTGGTATCTTAAGTAACAGGTAGGACATTTCGTCCCTAAGTTCTCTGGCCTCTACCCATAATAAGAACATTTTCCTGTAACCATGCCACCACTTCCAAGCTGAGTATAATAAATAGTAATCAAGCATTTCCAACATGTCTGGAAACGTACTCTTTCATGGGCCTGAACAAGAAAATCTCCTGGTTCTTCTCTAGTCCTTCTTTGCAGTAGCCATTCTTCCTCTCTTTCATGTTCCCAAGGCATAATATAGTGACTTGGGATTTAAAAAAATACTGAGACTTTCAAGATCCAGAATGTAGCATAGTCCAGTAAACTTTCCCAAGAAATGCTAAAGGAAGGAATCTTATTTTCTACAAGAGACTATCTCATAAGAAGGGACTGTGCCAGGCCAAGCAATGATGGCACACACCTTTAATCCAAGTACTCGGGAGGCAGAGGCAGGTGGATTTATAGAGTTTGAGACCAACCTGGTCTACAGAGCAAGTTCCAGGACTACACAGAGAAACTATGTCTCAACAAGACAAAACAGGCCACTGTGCCCAAATACTTCATATTAGGACAGTGGAACTGATTCTTTGGAAGAACAAAGGTTTGATTTTATCTAAATAAAATGTCCTAATAATTTTATCAGTTAAAAAATAGGAGATGCAGACTAGACATACAGGGGAGGGCCTAGGCCCTGCCCCAAACGATATGACAGACTTTGATCCCACGTGGAAGGCCTCACCCTCACTGGGGAGCAGAAAGGGAGTAGGATAGGGGGTTGGTGGGGGACAGGAGACAAGGGGAGGGAGAGGGAACTGAGATTGACATATAAAACAAGACTGTTTCTAATTTAAATGAAAAAAATTTTTGCCATTCAAAAAAAAAATGAGATGTAATCTCAGCACTTGAGACTGAGGCCTGGGCTAGAAATTATCTCCAAAAAAAGAAACAACTTCCCCATAAGTGAAATGGTACAGTAAACAGCTTTACAAATGAACAATCTCACCCTTACCCAAAGCGGGCTCTTCTTCTGTAGCCTAGTTCAAACCTATGACCTTAGCTTTTACCTGTTGCACCACCTGTGTAGCTACTAATTTATTACTCTTAAATAGTAAGAGTGCTATTTGAAATTTAAAAAAAAATATTTAATTGTATGTATATGTATATGTGAGTGAGTGCAGTGCCAATGGAAGCCAGATGTTTTAGATCTCTCCGGCCATTGTGAGCCACTTGGCATGGGCACTGGACTGAACTCTGGTCCTCTATCAAGGGCAGAAGGGTTTATTTTGTTTTGATAGTGTTTGTCTGTAAAACAGTCCTGGCTATCCTGGAACTCACCCTGATGATCAGGCTGGCCTCAAAGTTACAAAGATACACCTGCCTGAGTGCTGGGATTAAAGGCATGTGCTGCCACCACCAGGCCTAGCAGCAGGTATTTTTAACTGCTGAGCTATTTCACTAGCCTCCTAGTGGTTTTCCTTAAGGACTATAAAATTACTGCAAATTCTTAATAGAAAACTGGCTGTAGACCAAGGTCTTTTGAAAATGCTTTAAAAACCATGAAGGTAGCCAGGCGTTGGTGGCGCACGCCTTTAATCACAGCACTCAGGAGGTAGAGGCAGGAGGATTTCTGTGAGTTCGAGGTCAGCCTGGTCTCCAGAGCGAGTGCCAGGATAGGCTCCAAAGCTACACAGAGAAACCTTGTCTCGGGGGGGAAAAAAACATGAAGGCTGTGCTTCACAAACAAGACTTTAGAAAAAGTCACCCACAACAAAACATTTAGACGCCATGTGGTTATGGCAGCTTATTCAATAATTTTAAACCCCCCCCCCCCAATCAGAGTAACATACATATACAAACAAAGTGTCCCCTGTGACCTCAAAATTCATGACCTCCTTTCCTGCTTGAGCATCCTGGGCTGCGGGATTCTTTAAACAGCAATGATAATGAGTGCCAAACATGCTGGTCTACCTGAAGCTCCTTTCATCCTTTTGATTATTTCTGCTTGAAGCTACTGGGCACAGGAGCCACAGGGGCTAGGTATCTTACACAAAGAGGGAGTTAGTAAACACCTAATTCTTGGGCTTACTCTGAAAGATTTTCAGATACTTAATTCCAGGAGGTCAAGTTACTATCACTTAAACATTTCCAAAAACCTTCTGGAGCTCTATTTACTATTTTTGATAACTGTCAGAACCTAGTCACAATAACATCCTAGACTTCCTTTTTGAAACCACAGGCAAGCTAAAATTGAAGCTCTGGCCCATTCCTGAGATAAAATAATGAGAAATAATCCAGTGTACATATGATATTTAACCTAATGCATACCAGGAGTTCTGGAGGCCCATCTTCTGCATCTTCTGCTGACTGTTCTTCTCCAATTTTACTATTAAGAAAGAGCATAAAGCTTTCATTACTGAAAAGTTTGCCATGACGTTTTATCTTAAAACACACACATTTATTATAAAGGTATTTATGAGAATCCCTTAGGACAGTAGTTCCTAACCTGGGGGTTGGGCGACCCTAAGACCATCAGAAAACGTGTGTTTACATTATGACTCACACAGAAGCAAAATTAGTTATGAAGTAGTAACAAAAATACTTTTATGGTTGGGGTCAACAGAACATGAGGGAACTGTACTAAAGGGTCACAGCGTAGGAAGGTTGAGAACCAGTAACTTAGGATGTATTTTTCTATTATTATATTGTGGATTGTTAATTTCCTGGAGATAGGCTGGAGCCACTCATAACTAAAGTTGCAGAATGAAGAAATATTGCTCATAATAAACATTAGCTCAAAATTCCTTCAATATTTAAACTGTAGTTTTAATGCATCAGAACTAAAAGGAAAACACACACAAAAGTATACATAAACTAATGTGCAGCCTGTACACTCTAGGCTCCATCCAGCACATCAGATCTGTCTAAAGATATAACAGCTTTTAGCTATAGAAAGCCAAGAAATGGTATGTTATGAATTTTGGGGGGAGGAGACTTGAGCCCAGGGTCCCACAAGGTAGGCAAAGTTCTTTTGAGTTAGTTCCTGTCTGCCCCAAAGAAATTTTCTTTGTCGGTTTGAGACAGCGTCGGATTATGTAGCCCCAAGTTGGCTTTGGATTTGTGGTTGTCTACTGCAGCCTCTAGACTGAGCATGCTAGTACAGGCCTTTGATCATAGCACTTGAAAGAAAGAGGAAGGCAGGAATATCAGGAGTTTGAGGCCATTCTGAGCCACACAAGGCCCTGTCTG